AAGAGAGTAGAAAAAGTGGATCAAAATAAAAGGCAGGCTTATTAGCAACGCTGTGTTCTTGTTATTTCGTCAGTATATTAGAAAAGCTTTGAAAGGTAAATTTTTTGGAAGAAAAACCTGTGAGTACAAGTGGTTATTGAATTTGGTTGTTAGTCCTCCCAACATGCCTAATATTCACATTTCAAGGTGATTTAGCTGAATGACCGGTTTACCAGCTGATGAAATGAAAATCAGTGAAGGACTGAGAAAAGAGGAAAACTAAACGAGCAGAGCGTGAGGCAGAGATAAGACCAACAAAATCCTCAAGAGCTCCTGGAGAGGAGATGTTTCAGAAAAAGACACGGATAAAAAGCATGTACTGAACATATAGTCTTAAATGTTACGGACACCTTTATATTGTAAACATATTTTTAACAATCGGTATGCCGATGTCCCCATCGCCGAGGGATTTTAATTTGTAAATATTAGTAGACTTGGAGATGAGTGTTTTTCTGGACTGGAATTGTATGTGAACCTTAATGTTTTTGGTGTAAGATATTTAAGTGGGAAGGAGTTACTCTGTGTAGAACAGAGGTCTGCAACCTTTTTGATGAGCCATTTCTTTCCCTTCGCTCACTAAATAAAATGTGTCTGGAGCCAAAAAAAAACCCTGCTACAACTGTGATTATCAACTGATGGCCCATGGGACACTGAGTTTGTTGGTGGGGGGGTGGGGTTCTGGCCAGTGGGGGTAACATTATAAAACTAAACTTATATAACAAATTTTAACATTTGTTATGTTTACATCTTAAGACGAAAAAAGTCCATATCATGTAAAGAAGGAAAACAATTATAGTTTGTACCGATTTTGATAAAAGTCAAAACACTGAACTCTGTGAAATAATAAATATGGGGTGGGGCTGAAGTCATGTAATCCTAAGATTGAGGGTCTGAGCCCAGGTTGCGTCAGGAAGGGCATCCGGCATAAAACAAGTTGCCAAATCTTTCTTGCAAGTGGTGACCCCTGAAGAAGGGAGCAGCCAAAAGAAACGTACTACGCACTTTAACAATGTCCTGCGGGATCAGTAAAGTTCTTATCTTACTCGTAGTTATTGGGCACAATTTTACAAAAATTTGACAATAAAACTGCCCAAACTAGTCTTTTCTGTTGTTTGTATAAAACTCAATACAATTAAATTGCATTAAGTTTTCGTCAAAGAGCTGCCGATGAGGGACTAAAGAGCCATATGTGACCCCAGAGCCGCAGGTTGCAGACCCTTGGTATAGAAGATTAGAGGACTTTTTTTAATTTTAAATTTTTTTTTAATTTAAATTTTTTTTTTTTTGGGGGGGTGGGTCATTTTTGCTTGTTTGAGGCAGAACAGAGCAAGAGATCTTGGCAAGTGGAGGGAGCAGTTTAATCCACCACTAGGAACAATGGTGGAGCTAGGGGGTGGCCAGTGGTGGTATCTCACCATAGATACCTCACCGACCTCCCCAGTATTTTCTGGAAAGTATACTTTTAAATAATACGAAAACTACACAGCATATTTTTCTCAAATTATTGGTGTGGCCTGTTTACATGTACGTATGTACATACATATGTGTGTGCGTGTGTGTGTGTGTGCGTGTGTGTGTGTGTGCGTGTGTGCGTGCGTGTACGCCTACCTACCGACCTCCCTGATGTTAGGACTTGTGTGAAAAGCTGGTGATGCTTTATGTCATATTTATGCAGAAATGTAGAACATGGTTCACAAACTTTCAAGCACCACTTTGTATGTATGTGTGTGTATATATATATATATATATATATATATATATATATATATATATATATGTACAGCTCACGAGGTTAACATTATTTATACATATATGGCAGCGGCCATCTTGGATTTTGATGACTCAATTTCTGACATGAACCTTGCATACTGTGTGTGCAGGATCATCATGCTCACAACATGCATGGATGGAGAGTATTTCCAATTCATTCTTTTTGCTTCGCAACGGGTGACAAAAATATTATAAAACTTAGTTGCAGCTTAAAATTATTGTTCCTATTAAAAAAAACAAATCAAAAGACAAAAACCTAAACATTTATTGGCACTTTTTCTAAAAACTATTAAAACATTTTTAGTTGTTCATTGCTCTTCACTATTCTTTTAAGATTCCAACCATTTTTGCTTCTTCAGTAGTACTTTTCACTTATTCTTAAAACTTTGTTTATTGCAATTCAGTTAACAGTCTTCCTGCCATCTAGCTTACAGTCAAGTCATCCTTCACTTTTCAGCCATTTTAGATCTGTCATTGCTTTGTTGAAAAACGAATTTTCTGGCAATGGGTGGCACATTTTATTCTGAGATGTTTTGCCGTCGTTTTCAGTTTGATGTTTACTGTGATACTTTGTGTTAAAGTTAAGGACCGCTCCAACATGATTGTAACATATTTGTTAAATTTGTGGCCTTTGGAGTTGTTGGAACTTTCTGAAGCTCCCAGACAACTCTTGTCTTCACCCGTTTTGAAAAAGAACCTGGAAACAATCAGCCTTTGTATGCAGAAGAACTCATTGATTAGATTGCTTACTTCAAGTCACATGACACTGAAAATAAAGAAGATGGGCGCCTTGTTAATTATTTTGTTTGAGGAACCAATTTGAACTCAAAGCGCCAATTATTGTGTTCAGAGCAGATTTCAAACCTGCATTTTTCATTTATGGACACTATACAGCCTTTTTTTTATTTTATTTTTTTATTCTCATTAGAGTTGTAATTTTATTAGAACATTAAAAAAAACATTTGTTTCTAAAAATATGTTTTAATCAATTTATAACAATTTAGAAATTCTAACCAGAGCCATCTTTTATTGTTCAGTCACTAAGCACCTCGCTCGTCTCTGTAAAATGTGCACCAGGGAGAGATTACTTCGCGGTAAGCCACATCATATCAACCATAAGCCAGTATCATGGAATTAAAAAGCCATTAGTTTGTTCTTTTCCTGAATTTGATTCAATTAACGCAGATGCCTTTATGACGGTTTGTAACTGACTCAGAGGCATGAATGGGTTTGTATATGAATACTGCATCGAATTACAGCACACATCATATAATCATGTTTCAGAAAAGCCTAATGATGCAATAATAAACTAGAGGGGAAAAAAGGTTTAAAAAAAAAACTCAAGGTTTTTGTTTTTTATGTAAAAAAATCAATAAATCTGTCATAACTTTTAATGAAAAACATGAATATGTGACTGTTTCTAATCACAGAACATGGGTGTAGAAAGAACGTGGACATACTTATGTGTTTTGGATTATAAATTTATTTTATATGTTGAGTTTTATTGACATCCTCCTACATGAGACAGCAATCTTGATATTATATGAAACGATATATACTGTATCAAGAGATTGAACTTTTTTTTTTTTTTGCATTTCCAGCAAACTTACTGTAGGCTGTAAAAGTATTCACATTTTATCCATATGTATTAATAATTGTAATTTGATTAAAAGTAGCAAATCCACAAAAACAAATTATAATACGAAATTTAACGGAAACAAAATATTTTTAAATTGTTCTAAAAGTGCACTGTAGTGGTATTTTAGCAAATAATCCTTGTATTTCCACATTATTCTGAAACTGCAGCTGGATTTTGTGTTGTTACATGAACAGTAGACGAACATTAAAATGAATATAAAACCCACAGAACGCTGGTACAGAGAAGGAAAAGATAAATGGAGAATGGCAAGTTATGCAAATGAAATAAAGACCTTGTCCCTCAGGCAGCTAAGATAAAATAAAAGCAAATTATGTTTTGTTTATCTGAACATGAACGTGTAATTAAAGTGTAGGTTCACACGAACTTGTAAGGACCTATGAGATTATGTTGACAGAGACAAAGTGTCACTGAGGACTGAATTCGCTCGCATGCAAAACTTTTTTCAGGCTTGCACTGCATTAACTGCTTTTACAGAAAGCTGATGTTGGATCACTTTCATCAAGACTAAATATATATTGATGGATACACACAACACTTGCTTAATTTAAAATATAGTCAGCTCTTTTAAAAGAGTAAAGCTTTTTGGTATAGAAGTGAGTTCTGTCCAAACTTCTGCTTGGTTTTATTTATACAATGACCATTTCTATTCACTGTCATTTTGTTTAAAACTAAATGTACTTATCTTGATGTCTAAATTAATTACACCCATAAATTACCCCTTCACATAAACTTGGACTGCGACAGTGTAAAAATGAAATAATGAATAAAGCAATAGTTTCACCTTCTATCCACAACCACCATAACTTACACCAGTGGTTCTCAAACTGTGAGCCGGGGCATGGGGGGGTCCGCCAAAAAAAAAAAAAAAAATACCAAAAAATTTTTTTACAAGCAGGTAGATGTTTAATAAACCGTTAAAATACACCAAAATGCAGAAAATCACATCTACTTCAAAATTTTCTGGGGGGATGAATGTTTATTTTCTCAAAACTGTAATTTTTGGAAGTTGAAAATAAAAAAAGTTAAGTGTGTATTTAATGAAAAATGCCCCATGTTTAAATTTATAAAAATTGTATTAACACAAATAAAGAACAGGTCTCAAGTATTTGTTACACAAATATTTCCATTGCATGAAAGTGACAAATTGAAGAAAATTATTTAATAAATATGAAGGTTATGAGGGGGTCCCTGAACCTAAAAAGGTTGAGAACCCATGACTTCCACAACTAGTATTGTGCACTTGATACACTAATATAAATTGTTATAGCTGTATGAAATGTACTGAGACAACTGACTGGAATGATATACTACGTCTTGCTTGAGTTACTGTCAAATCAAGCATGTGTTAATATTACTCATGCGCAATGCCTCGCTCTGTCACAAACACGCACCTGCACAAAGCATTACATTAATGCACAAATGACCAGTGTTCGAAGCACTGAAGGCATTTGCTTTAACAGATTGATGAGAACATTAATGTTATGTGCGTGGTGTATGAACAGGGCTAACGTGCGTTTGCATTTGGCCTCACCTCATTGGCATAGACCCAGTGACTGTCCTTGGATGCCAGGTTGGTTTCCACAGCCTGCAGAGAAAAAGAAAGTGGAAAAATGGTGAGACGGGACACACACAGGAACACAGTTCGGCAAACAAAGTTATTCACAGAAATGTTTTTCCATATATAACAAGTGATTTTAGATCTGTTTGCTTTTAAAAGGCAGGTGTTGTTTAATGAAATGTAAAATGTATTGAACCTACACTTCTTGTTGCATAACTAACAAAAGAGCTCATATAATTAATGCTTTACTTAGAAATCTTGTTTCTGTAGATATGAGAATGAAACCTGTTCACTTTATCGTACAAAATATATATCTATTTCCATAATAGCAGAAAAATTTGTATTCACAGATATAGCTATTGCAGATGAAAAAGCCAGCAGAAAATCAGAATCAGCTTTATTATCTTTGCAATGAAGCACCTGTCCGAGAGAACATAGACAAACAGACATGGGGAGACAGAGGTGTCTGAGGCCGCGGCCTTTGGGAGGCGCTGCCCTTTTTGTTTAGATAAGAAAAAAACATGAGGGGAGGTATATAAAAAAAATGATATCTCGCACTGTGTCCTAGATGGGACAGTGTGAAAGTTGCCTAAAAAGACCTCAGCATAGAAACATCAACATGCTGATGACATAACATGTATGCATGAGGAGGCTGATGAATGTGGTGAGTTATCCGTGGACACTGCCAGATAGTTCCATAGTCCTGATAAGAGATGGTGCAGTGTCTATCAGCCGGCTCAGCTCTGACACAGGCCCACAGATGTCCTCTTGAAAGGAGCAGTTAGCTGAGGGGGGAGCAGAGCTTTTAGTTCAAACTACCGTCCAGGAGAATTTGATATAGTTGGACAATTCAAGGCCAAGCGGGGGAACCAGATTTAGATAACAATTATTTTGGGTCAGGCCGACTCTGCTTGATTTCTGTCTGCCTTCATAGTGAAGGCAAAATGTCAAGAATTAACAGATTAACGATGATTCCCAAAAAAAGAAATTCTGTGTTGGACTTTTTTTGATTTAACATTTTGTCATATAATCCAATTTACCTTGAATTATTTTGTTTTAAGCTAGAGACCACATTTTACTCGTGATGGAAGCGTACAGGTTTTTTAAAACAAAAAGGTTAAATCACGTCATCTGGACCAGTTTCTTTGAGTGAGAAACATTTTGTCTCCCATCCGGAAGACTTCATCAGTCTGTGGCCTGCCAACCAGATCTGCCCCATAGGTAACCTTCATTGCTGTTTCAAGCCAACCTCCTGTTGGAATCCCAGAAGCAGGCTTTTAACACGTGCAAGCAGGGCCCATCCATCCAAAACAATCAATCACCATGTACAACAATTAAATGTTTTAGGCCAGATGGCCAACTCGCACTCTGATTTAAAACAGTTTTTTGCTAAACTAATTAAGTTTCCATAAAAGAAAATTAAAAAAAAACTTTGAACACACAAAGGTAAGACATTTTTAATGACAGAAAGGCTGCTTTGGGAGATTTTTTAACTTTTCTCATATCTTAAATCGAATCATCTGAATTCAAGGATGCACCTCTGCATCTATTAATCCTTCCTTTTTATCCTGTTGATCCACGGCTGAAGCATTTTCTAACCCCACTTACACACCTATGCAACCAAAAATCTGCCGTGTTTTTTTTTTTTTGTCCTTTCTCCTTCGTACAAAACAGATTTAGCTGGGAAAATCAGATTTCTCTAATCCCCAAATCTAACACTTATATAAGGCAGTTATACTAGCGAGAGGACTGTAATCTGGGTTCGTAGCTTTATGTATACATGAAATGACAAAGCCTTACAGTACAGATGAAATAATCCCACTTCAACATCACACATGTCATAATTCAAACTGCATAAAAAATGTAGAACATTTGATGGAAAACGGCAAAAAAATGAATGTTTTGATCTCAATGTGTAGGCTCTGTTCTTGATGTAGAACCTGGAAATAATAATCTATTACAAACATGGCCAAGGTAAAATAGTAAATGGCCTAAATGACTGAATTAACCTACTTAGATTACTTAAAGATATATTTAAAATATTATTATGAGCCTGAGGGTAAATAGAAGAGTTTTTTGCATTGCTTGCTGTAATTAGAGCTGAGGAAGTTGGGATTAAACATGGACATGGGCAGTTTGAATACATTTTGCCAGATTCAGAAAAGCACTTTCTGCAAGCAGCAGAAAGAAATCCAAAGAGATTTTTATTCATTATTAAGGATTTATGATTCAATTACAGCTGGACTGCTTGGCTAGTCAGCTATGGCTTCATAGCTTCATAGCTAATACACATATTAACATGGCTGTTTTTTCACCTCTATACATAAATGCTACTAGGAACTTGCTGCTTATAAGATTCAGCAACATAATTTTAGAATGGTTGTGATCAAGAAATCAAAGACATCTGTCATTTTCAGCCTTTACAAATAATCTAATGTCACCATACAGTACAATAGTATAAACTATAAAAGTTCAACACCGTTATTATGCTGTATTACATTTATGCACAATATTGAAGGATATCTGCACAAGTGAGCAATGTGAATCCTATATTATTCAGTTGTATTGTCCACGTTAAGCAACAACAACAAAAAAAAAAGCAAACATCTTATTTCTTTGTGCATGAGCTGGTTTGACATTATTTGGAAATAAACTTGAATCACTTCTGTAAAATGAACTTCAACACATTAATATTAGCATTAATATTAATATAGCATTATTGCATTCTTGCTGTAGTTTTCTTTCTATCAACTCTTTTTTTGCACGGCCACGTTTGTCAACATCGATAATTCCACTTGGACAGTTTTGGTCAAAAGAAATACAGTTTGGTCCTTGTATTTGGGAAAAATACAGTTTTGCATTTGTACACCACGATTGTACTTTTGCAACTGAGCAAGTAGGACGTCATGAAAATGTAGACATTCAGATACAGTTTTTTTAAACATTATTTGATTAATAATTTGAAAAGTCAGATTTGAGGAGTCCATTGATTTATTTTTTTAAATCATTAAGTCATTTGACAAGCAAACTGTACACCTACTATTTATGGGTTATTTTTGATGGTGAAGCGGTGAAAGGCCACCTCATGTCTGGAAGTCCTGAAAAGTGGCTAAATGTTGAGTTTCCTTTTAGATGTGTTGGCATGCCTTTACCACAATGACGTTTAGGTAGTCAACAAATGTGACAGGGTCATTTTACAGCAAAGCAAATAGCTTGAGTGCACAAAAAAAATGGTTCAGTCAGAAGCAAAAGAACATTTGTACAAGTCTAAGTACTGGAGTTTATACAAGTGGAGTTTTAGGGAAACGCAGCACCTAGATATGAAAAACAAGAAAATTCTGTCTAAAATAGGTGCATCTGGTAACCAGCCGCATGCATTTCCTGTTTAATTTTATCAGGCAACAAGAAGTAAATGATAACGATCTAATTCTTGTTTTCTTACTGATGCAAAAATACCAACACAACCCTATTATGCACAAGTAATCCATTCATATATTCACACTATTATGCATACAATAGTGTTTCTCACTCCAAATAAAATCCGATGATATCTATTGTCTGCCTTGAAGATATGAACTTGATTTTGGGGAGAGATGACAGCTCCTTGAACTGAATTCATTCTTCCAGACATAATCTGTCAGATGGCATAATGGTAAAGTCACGTACTGTAGTGTGAACTGGTTGTTGTGTACACCACCAGCTGGAATTCATTGTTTTATTGAAGCTTCGGGCACAAAATGAGACGACACATGAAATATTTTGCATCATTTCACTGCACAACTTAAACACTGACAACTTTAGACAGTCTGGAAACAGGAACCTTTTGTAAGCCAAACGATGTTTGCAAGTTGATGCTCTAACTATCTCTGCACTGATGTAACAAACGCATAATTGAGCTGACTCACTGGAGGTTAGATATTGTTTTTATCATAATATCTTTGAGGGAGAAAAGCTGTTATGAAAGGAGCAGTATGAAAATATAAGTAGGTACGTAATGAATGTGTTTGAAGGATTTCCTTTCTTCCATAATGTAACACATCAAACAGTCCATTTGGATCCATACCATCCAGACAGAGTATTTTAGCTGTATGTGCATGCACAGATGATGTAATTGTAAAAGTCTAGAGAGCAATGTGGTTTTTATGAAGGAGGGATAACAACTGCTTGGAGTGGCTTCTGAGGAACTTTATACAGAGCTGATACACGCCTGATGACAGTAGATCTGTGATCAGAGAGGCGAAATACCCCAGGCATGTTCTTGTACAGTAGCAGCGTCACAAAGACAGCGAGAGTACGTCAGCTCCAATTTAAAACGGTGACAGCCAGAAAGAGCTTGAGAAAAAAAGTGTTAGAAGAATGTGAACGCTGTGTGTCTGTAAAGGGTGGGTGGTTTTTATTTCACTGTTGTATCAAACTGAACTGTTTTGTCTAAGACACTGGCAGCATCTGCCACACCAATTTCCCCAATTGTGATATATTTTATCGTTGGTACACTAAATTAATATGCATCAATCCAGCTGATGGAATTGACTGACTTTCTTTGTTTTATATATATAAAAAAAAAAAAATCATTCACAACAAACTGATCAACACATTTTATAAAATACAATATAAATAATCCTCAGTGTGTTTTATTTTTTATGGATAGAAAGATGTTCATCAAAACAGTGACCATATAAACACAGTTTTGACAATGTTAGATTTTGATGGAAGTGTAATCACCATCTGATGCAATATTTTATTTTTATTTTATTTTAAGGCGATTTTTGGTTTTACATTTGTTCTGCACCAGGCTGAACAGAAAATTGGCACTGTAAAAAACAAACTTCAATAACAAAAAGAACAAGTAGTTCTGCAACAGATGGTTTGTTCTGCACAGAAGCTAAAAAAAAAAAATCACAGCTCTTAGAATCACAGATTGGACTTTGAAAATTACAAGAATCGACATTAAAAACTGACACAGACAGAATTCATAAAAATTGTAAGATATCCAAGATATCAAAGACAATACATCAGGATCACAGAAA